CAGAAATTCATGTGATGTTGAACACAGGTTACAAGGACAGCGCTATGGGAAAAACTCAAGTGTATGAGTGGTTTTCTCATTTCAAAAAATATTAAATGTCCATTAATGGCAATCCTTGTTCTGGACGTCCATCACCTTTCTGAAGGGATGAAAATGTCAAGTTGTAGTGCGTTTGGAGTTCGCTCCACTAGGTCAGACTGTTAATCAAGCTTTCTAGTTAGAGGGTCTGAAAATATTGCGTTACAGTGTGTGACAAACAAAGGCCTGATTTGTGGCAGACAGAGGACTGGTTTTGCCACCACGACAATGCACCTGCTCATGAAGCCATCTCAGTGTGCCAGTTTTGGGCAAAAAGTAGCATGCCTCTCTTGCCCCACTCACCTTACTTACCTGACTTCACTCCATGCAACTTCTTTTAGTTTCTGTGAATTAAGAGGGACATGAAAGGACAGTGATTTGAGGACATAGAAGAAGTGAAGAAAAAAACAAGGAAGGTGCTGTCAGTCATCCAAACATATGAGTTTGAAAAATGTTCCCAAGAATAGAATTATAGATTTGACAAATGTATTAAGTGTAATGGAGAGTATTTTGAAGATGACACGGTTGCTTTGTAAAAAAAAATTTAAATACATAGTTTTGAAAAAAATTATGTTTTTTGGGGGTACCTCCTCCCTCATATGTCAATACAAATGCCAGGATCCAATCTAGGGTACAACGCTGCCACTAGTAAAATTTTATTTTAAGATTAAGGTGCCACTCGATATGCTGTATGTTCCGAGTTTTGACGACTACGGAATATTGGTTATGGAAAATGACAAGGGTCTGATAGCATTCACATAGCATCTTTTAATTCTAGGTGTCCATGGCACATGGGATACAAAACTTGATCAACGCCATCAAAATGATTCACAGTGTGTCAAGGTATTATAACACCTCAGAGAGAATGACCTCACTGTTTATCAAGGTAGGTTTTTAAGGGAAGAAACTGTGACATTTTGTAAAAACTGTGGAATTGTAAAATTGTGGAAGTGCTTACCTCTTGAGCCAGGGGGAGAAACTGGGAAGTACGGGTTCTCTAAAAATTCTGAATTTTTGTACGTCCAACATACAAGAAAAGAAAGGTGTTGAGCTGAGTTGGTTGTAGTGGTCAGAGGAAAGCCCCAGGGCCTTTTCTTTAAATTGGTTGTCCAGCTCACTCATTCCAAACAATTTCAAATCTATTTAAGAGAATAAGGATTGTCTTCATGACTAAACGCACTTCTTTAGCTAACCCACAAACACTGGAGTTTGTGTAAATTCTTCCTGTATTTGCCATATATTTAATTACTCTATTTCATTTTAAACATTACCCAAGAAACACAAAAATATATTTCCTTTGTGAAATATCCAAGCAGCATACAAACATGTGGATTAATAGCCACCTTTCAATTAAAAAGACCCTACAAAACCGCATCAACTGTAGATGTACTCGGTGTCTCTGTTCTGAAGAAGACAAAATCTGAGGAGTCTTTCCTTCCCTTGTCGCCTTCCTACTTGCTGTAACAGCCCCCTGGAAGATTGGGTTAGTTCCAGATCGCTCTCAATGCTTTTTGACATTACAAATTCGCCAGTGTTTCTACCACAATTGGGGCATTTCTTCTTTCTTTGGTTCCTGTTCTTTTATGATCTCTGTTTCATTGCATCTGGATTATGGGGCTGGAGAAGAATATAGAAAGTACCATGGATTGCTAAAAGGACAAACCAATCTGTCTTGGAAGAAGTATGGCCAGAGTGTTCCTTAGAGGAAGGATGGCAAGACTTTGTCTTCCATACTTTGGACATGTTGTCAGGAGAGAGCCGTCGCTGGAGAAGGGCTTCATGCTTGGTAAAGTGGAGGGGCAGCGTAAAAGAGGAAGGCCCCCAACGAGATGGGTTGACACAGTGGCTGCAGCAATGGGCTCAGGCAAAAGAGCACTTGCAAGGATGGCACCGTGTTTCATTCTGTTGTGCATAAGGTCGCTATGGGTCAGGACTGGCTCGATGGCACCAAATAACAACAGCACAATTTCTTCTTCATCTTGGAGTTACTATTTCTTTTGCTGGAAAAATATCCTCAAGGATTTTTTTTCAGAGAAGGTCATGGGGAGGTGTGCATCCTAAATGCTAGCATGTCTGACTGAATAGCTTTGTTTTGTTTGTCCTCACAGATGCTAGCTTGACTGGGATTCCAAGTTCAATATAGTTTTCTCCTGGAATTTTGAAGGTAGTGCTCATTTGTTGTCTGCTGTCCGGTATTACTGAGGAGTAGTTTGTGATAGTTTGATTATTTTTCTTTTTTAGGTAACCTGTTTTATTCTCTCAGGAAACATTTAGGATTTTCTCTTTGTCCTTGAAGTCCTAACATTTCAAAGTGATTAAAAAAGCCCCAAACACACCTATATCTTACACCATACTTGCTTGGTTGTTTCAACCCAAAGACTCCCTTCTAACTCTTCATTCCTGGGAAATTTCCCTCCCTTGATCCAATTTACATTTTGACTATTTTGGGGTGAAAATGTACATGGCAACCAACACAAACAAACTCACTGCTGTCTAGTTGATTCTAACTTAGCTCTTGTAGGACAAGATAGCTTTGCCCCATAGGGTTTCTGAGGCTATAAATCTTTATGGAATCAGACTGCCTTCTATTTCATCCTCAGAAAGGCTGACGGTTCAAACCTCTTGACCTTTTGGTTAGCCACCCATTGCTTACCCCAATGGGCCATCTGAGCTCCTTTTATACACAGCAAATACACAGCAGACGATCCATCACTTTAACCAATTCTACGTGTACAATTTAGTGACGTTGTTTATATTCTTCAAGTTGTGTAACTATTCTTTTTACCTTATTTCAATTTTTCCACCATCATCAACATAAACTCTCAGACCCCTCGGCTTCTTGTTTACCCTTTTGAGATACTTTTGTTAATTTGAACCCACGTAAGTTAGTCTTTCTACCCTTTCTCTTAATCATGTTTCCCCTCGACCATCACTGCCCATTACACTTGGAGCTCATTCATTGCTCTTCATCTGTGTCCAATTTACAGGTCAGTTTATCAATCGATTGTTTTTTATTCTGGAAAAATTTAATATCCAAGTTTCCCCTGTTTTTGTGTATGTGTCATGGATATAAAATCATCTCATAGCTTTCTGTTGGTTTAAGTTACTGAATGTTATTAAAATATTTTACGAACATCATTTTCCCCCTTCTCTCTTATTATATGTGTGGTTTCCACTTGCTTGGTGATTCTTGGTTCCACATTAGTATTTGGGACTCTGAATTTGCCTTTCTATGGAGCCCTGGTGGTGTAATGAGTTACACAATGTACTGCTACCCACAAAGTCAGCAGTTTGAACCAAAGAGCCTTCCCAAGGAGGCAATATGAGGCGTTTTGTAAAGATTTACAGCCTTGGAAACCCAAAGGGGCAGTTCCACTCTGTCCATTAGGGCTGCTGTGAGTCTGCTGATTTGCCTTACGTTGGTTAATTAGCCTTTCTGTGATATTTATTTCTTGTCTCTTATGGTGGGGGGTGGCGGGAGTGTCTTTAGCATCCTTCTGAGATGAAGAAGCTACTAGGGCATGGCCACACCTCCCTCTAAGAATATGGTCCACATGCACAACTTTGTCTTTAGCCAATGTTACTCTTTCTTGTTTCACAAATGGCTTCGCTTTGTCTCTGATCCTGAAATGTCCCCAGAACTCTTCTGTTTCCACAGGAGCCTTCTCCAAAACTGTGTTTTCTGTTGTTGTTGTTTTCTTCCACCTATCTTGACCCCGTGTGCTTACTATAATCATATTCCAGGAATCCTTCCAAATTGTTGTGTATCAGCCTACTCTCTTGATCTGCTGTTCTGACCATTTCTAAATGGCTATCCTTGACTACTTTGGGAGATGTGAAAGGCAGTTTTTAGTTACTCTTTAGTCTGTATGTGGAGGAATGATGAAAAATCACCGTTGGATTGGATCAAGACTTAGGAATAGACAAATGGAAAATGCAGTTCATGTTAAAATTTATGGCCTCTGTGACATTGACTTAAATCCATTAGGTGAAGGTGACTTTGGGATGAGGTCACCAGACCTTGGAAGAAAGGCTTGGTGACAGACTGTTGAACAGTCAGCCATCGAAAATCCTACAGAGTGCAGCTCTGACATGTATAGGATCACCATATATGTATTTTTAAAAAACAGTTTTGATGGGAATCTATATTTCTTTGTTTATATTCTGAGCAATTCATTCTACAGAGTTATTATCTACCATGTTTTTAGGCCTATGATGTAAGAAAACCCTAAATGAACCTTATTTTTCTTTTGCTTGTGGCCGTTTTGTGCTGACACACTTATCTCAGGTCACAAACCAGATGGTGACCGCATGTAAAGCGTACATCACTGATGGAGGAGTGAGCCACGTCTGGGATCAGGAAACACCAGCTGTGCTGAAGAAAATTCAGGTTTGTATAACGAAAACTTTCATGTCTGGCCTCGTTTGGTTTTCTGTCTTCATTCACAAAGCACAGGTGGACTTTGAAATAAACACTGTACAGATTAATGTGGACAAATAACAGGGCCTTCTGTACTTGGTGCTTCTTTTAGGCATCAGTTTAATCCTCTTCTTCTCCCCGGCTGCCTCTCTTAGAGAGCGTTTCTACTCTGGGTCCTACCTCTTATTCCAGGCACTGCTGTTTTCATATTCTCTACTTGATCCCTAGACTCTAATATCCTTTGCACTAGCTATATAGAACTCACAGACAAAATTGAGGATTAAAGGGTTTATGGAGAAAGTTAACACGTTGTAATGCCAGTGAGAAATGCTTAGGGTTGAGTTTCTCTAGACATGTCCCAAAATTCTTTCAGGTCTGCTAATAAATGCCCAAAGGGGCATACCACTCCACTGGGAGCCTCATTTGGAAGGCACTCAACTCCAATTCTATGGGCCAGCAAACCCAACTTACCCAATTAAGTGCCCAGAGGCACCCTACTCTGCAAGCCACCCCCACCCCCACCCCACCCCGTACAAAACACGAAGCTTCACTAGGTCTGTGGGTTGGGAAGTCCATCACTCAGTTCTGTGTTCTGGCTCCTGGTTCTGCTGCTGCCCCTCTGATGTTCTAGCTGTCTTCTGAATCCAGGAGGGTCACTGCTTAGGGATGTTGGGTCCAGAGGACACACTCCACTCTTGGCTCTTGCTGGTAATGAGATCCCTCCTCCTGCTTCTCAGAGGACTCATGTTGTACACAGCAGGATGACACTCCAGGGAATCCTGTTCACAGTTATTTACAGGTGAATCCTATCAGTATCTCCTTCCCAGACACATGCCTTTATTGGGAGTTAGAGATTTTGGGTAGAAGAGTTACATTAAATAATTCACTGCCACTGTGCTGCTAATTTTAGATTTGTTGCTTTTTGACATTGGATAGGACTACTGCTCATTTTTAAACATAAGTGGTGCTATTGGTGTCCTGATTTTGATCCTATTTAAGAAAGAGAATGTTTCTAATATTCACCCATTTACTTTGATGCTTTTGTTAGATTTAATAGATATTTTTAATCAAAATGCAGTTCTAGACCTAGTTTTATTTCTGTGGTTTAAAAAACTTTCATAATATGACCTGAATGTTTTTATTCCATACATTTTTAAATTGAGATGCTTATAGGATTGAAAAAAATCTATTAATATGATAGGTGACATTTGAATTTTTCTAAAATACATGCAGTAAGCAGCATAGTTTGAAATATGGGAAGGTGTGTGTCAGGGTTGTATCCATCTACCACACTCATTCACTCTGCATGCTGAACAGATGGATTACATGAGAAGGGGCATGGCATACGGATTGGAGAAAGGCTTATTAACAACACCATATATGCAAATGGCACAACCTTGATCACTGAAAGCGAGGAAGATCAGGACTGCAGCCTTCGGTAGGGATTGCAGCTCAATGTAAAGAAAAAAATCCCCACAACTGCACTGATGGATAGCATCATGATAAATGGTTAAATGATCTGAATTATCAAGGATTTCATTTTGTTTGAACCCAGAGTCAATGCTCATTAAGCAGCTGTCAAGGAATCAAACCAAGTGTTGCACTGGGAAAATCTACTGCACAAGACCCTTTCCACCCACACCCCCACCTTTTAATTTTAATTTTTTGAATAATATATATATATTTAATATTTATTTTATTGGGGGCTCTTACAGCTCTTATCACAATCCATGCATATATCCATTGTGTCAAACACATCTGTACACATGTTGCCATCATCTTTTTCATAACATTTTCTTTCTACTTGAGCCCCTGGTACCAGCTCCTCATTGTCCCCCTTCCCTCCCTCCCCCTCCCTCCCCCATGCCCCCTTAGTAATTTATAAATTATTCTTTTTGGGGAATATTTTTATTGATATCTTACTCATTCCAATATATCCCTTCCCTTCCCATACAATTCTGTTGTTCAGTTGCATCAGGTGGTGCTATACAGTCATCAGTGCTATCAACTCCCCTTCCCTGCCCCCCCTTTCCTGTACTCTCAGGGAACCCTAACTCTTGTCAATATCTCTGAGGGGCCCTCTTTCTTGACTACCATGTACCAAACAATCTTAAATGTACAAATGAACATATGCAAGTCTAACATGACCAATGAGGTATATCACATATGGAACATAATAGTAAGGGGAAGAAATCTTAAAGAACAAGAGGATAGTGATGTGGTTCATTAGTGCTACACCATACCCTGGATTTATCCTCCATTCCATGGGGGCCCTTTTAAAAGGGACTGTCCAATTGTCGTGCTGGAGGACTTTGGGTCTCTACTGCATCCACTCCCCTTCATATCAATTTGGATGCTGTTTTTTGAACTTTGATACCTCTTCCTATGGACACCTCATGATCACACAGCCTGGTGTGCTTCTTCCATGTCAGCTTTGTTGCTTCCCTGGTAGATGGCCGCTTGTTTAATTGCAAGCCTTTAAGACCCCAGATATAGTTTTTGATAGCCAGGTGCCATCAGCTTTCTTCACCACATTTGCTTACACACTCATTTTGTCTTCAGCGATTGTGTCAGGGAGGTGGGTATTATACAGTGCCACATTATTAGAACAAACCATTCTTGTACAGAAGTAAGATTTAAATAGAAGCCCAAAGTCTATCTACTTCCTTGTTGAATTTACATATATATACATAAACATATTCATATATTTTTATACAGATATGAATATATATAGTTTTATTTCTTGTCTTTTCCTCTTACCCCACTATTATGCTTGCCTGTCATTCATCTCTCAGCAATTCCTCTCAGATACAATTCGATAAATCAAACATGTCCAGAAAAGCTACAACCTCCTTGAGGTCCATTTTAGAACTCGTACTATTTCCCTGAAGCCGTCATTGTTGCCTGGCCGCTGTCTCCATAAGACTGCCCATTCTGCATTTCTTGTATAGATAAATACCAAAATCAAAACCAAAATAATAATAATAAAATAAAAGATAAAAAAAAAGAAAAACAAGCAAACAAAAAGTATAGCATTCAGATAGCCTCCAGACTAACAGGGATCATGACCTAGAGCCGCGGTTCCTGTCTGTGGCATTTACATAATTACTGCCAGCTTGAGGAAGGGGTGGAGTCTAGCCTGTCAATTAGGTTGTAGCTAATGAAACCTCTGTGTGGGCATGGCCTTATCCTGAGGATTCTGGGAGCTTCTGTTTTCCTCTTCGGAGGTGGGACACACACTCTGTGTTCAAGACATTCCTGTTGACAAGCCCCATGGAGCTACACTGATGGAGCCAGAATCCTAGAGCTGGAGGAGCCACGTGGAGACCCATGCCAGCACTGAGATGCTTTCACCGCCACTGGAACCACGAGACTTCCCACCACTGGCCTGTGATCTTCCTGCATTGGTGTCATTGCATGTTGACTGGTATTGGACATATGAGATAACAGTGAATTTGATCTGGACTGGGCCGGGATGATTTCTTAATACCCAATCTTTGATATAAAGCTCTTTCTTATACACATATAAGTGCCTATGCATTTGTGTCTCTTGTCAACCTGGACGAACACAGTGCCCCAAAGGGGAGTTTCCCATAGGTCCACGTTGCTATTTCCACAGTCCGGGATGGAGCTGTCTCATGACCCGCCCCCCATTTATGCCTTAGACTTTCAGTATGGCCCCCTTGTGAGTAATCCCCAACCAGTTCAGTGTGGGGTGCCAAGTGTTGCCCCACTGAATCAGAAGTCTACAACAGGGGTCCCTTGGGGACTTCGTGGCTTCACTCCAATCACTGGTCTGCTGCGCTCCCCTCTTGGTTTGCCCCCACGTGGGGGGGTCAGACTGCTCACTTTGCCAGAACTGTATCTGCAGGGCTGTCTTCAGCAACACTGTCATGTAGGGAGAGGCTAGAGAGCAAGCAAGGGTGTCTGTCACTTTGAGGATTAAGGTGAGGTTGACCGAAGTCATGGTATTTGCAGTCAACCACTCAGATGCACGGGAAGATGGGACAATGTATAAGGATGACTGCAGACGAATGGATGCATTCGAATTGTGGCATCAACAGCTCCTCGGACTGCCAGGAGGACAAGGACATTGGAAAACATACAGGCAGAATGCTCCCAAGAAGGGTGGCTGGTGCGACGTGGTCTCATGTATTTGGGGCATGTCATCAGGAAAGACCAGCCTTAGGAAAGGACACCGCGCTTGGTCGAGTAGAAGGTCAGCGAGAAAGCAGAAGACCACCGATGTGCCGGATCGATGCAACAATGGGCTCAAGTAGAACCACTTTGGTGAGGCTGGGGCAGAACCGAATCATGCTTTGTTCTGTGGTAATTAGGGTCTCGGACCTGGAACCCACTAGACGGTACCTAATCACAACAACAAAACACAACCAAAAAACCAACCCCGCGCAGCAGTGCTGGGGCTCTCCCGGACTCGGCTGTCCTGTGATTAGCCATCGGCAGCGG